AAACTGAACCTTTCTTGTTATTTCAGGATGCTGCGGTTGAGCTATCGAAAGAATTGAATGGAAAGCCTGACCTTATTATTGGGAACTACAGTGACGGAAATCTTGTTGCTTCTTTATTAGCTCACAAACTTGGTGTCACTCAGGTTTGGCTTCTTGAATTTAATCTTTAGCATCTATCTTGATGAGATTTGTCAAGTGCTAATGCATTGTGAATTATCTCTTACAGTGTACCATTGCTCATGCTCTGGAGAAGACAAAGTACCCGGATTCCGATATCTACTGGAAGAAGCTTGATGAGAAGTACCATTTCTCATGCCAGTTCACTGCGGATATTTTCGCAATGAACCACACTGATTTCATCATCACCAGTACTTTTCAAGAAATTGCTGGAAGGTGAAGAGAATGAAGAATTGTACTATAATAATAAATAGTTTGTGGTTTCAGTATAAGAAAAGTCTTCTTTACACATTTTGCAGCAAGGACACTGTTGGGCAGTATGAAAGCCACACGGCCTTTACTCTTCCCGGATTGTACCGAGTTGTTCACGGGATCGATGTGTTTGATCCCAAGTTTAACATTGTCTCCCCTGGTGCTGATATGAGCATCTACTTCCCTTACACAGAGGAGAAGCGTAGATTGACTAAATTCCACTCTGAGATCGAGGAGCTCCTCTACAGCGATGTTGAGAATGAAGAGCACCTGTAAGCTTTTTAATGACTCTTTATGTTCATTACACGTTTGGATTGTAGTTCTAATATTTCTTTGGAAACAGATGTGTGCTCAAGGACAAGAAGAAGCCGATCCTCTTCACGATGGCTAGGCTCGACCGTGTCAAGAACTTGTCAGGTCTTGTTGAGTGGTACGGGAAGAACACCCGCCTGCGTGAGCTGGCTAACTTGGTTGTTGTGGGAGGAGACAGGAGGAAAGAATCAAAGGACAATGAAGAGAAAGCAGAGATGAAGAAAATGTATGATCTCATTGAAGAATACAAGCTGAACGGTCAGTTCAGGTGGATCTCCTCCCAGATGAACCGGGTTAGGAACGGTGAGCTGTACCGGTACATCTGTGACACCAAGGGTGCGTTTGTGCAACCTGCATTGTATGAAGCCTTTGGGTTGACTGTTGTGGAGGCCATGACTTGTGGATTACCGACTTTTGCCACTTGCAAAGGTGGTCCAGCTGAGATCATTGTGCACGGTAAATCGGGTTTCCACATTGACCCTTACCATGGTGATCAGGCTGCTAATACTCTTGCTGATTTCTTCACCAAGTGTAAGGAGGATCCATCTCACTGGGATGAGATCTCAAAAGGAGGGCTTCAGAGGATTGAGGAGAAGTAAAAAAAAAAACTCATCATGCCTATATTCTCAAGTTTAGGTGCTGACTTATCTTGTTTGTGTTTTGCAGATACACTTGGCAAATCTATTCACAGAGGCTCCTGACATTGACTGGTGTGTATGGATTCTGGAAGCATGTCTCGAACCTTGACCATCTTGAGGCCCGTCGTTACCTTGAAATGTTCTATGCATTGAAGTATCGCCCATTGGTATGCATTCTTAAACTCTGTTTGCATTGAAAGAATGTAACTTTTGTCTGTCTCTAATGTGGTATTTCTACTATTTCTTCGTGTCTTGTAGGCTCAGGCTGTTCCTCTTGCTCAAGATGATTGAAGAGAAGAGAAAAGACTTGGAACCAGTAGAGAGTTTGAAGAGAGTGGTTCCGGTGTTTGAAGAATAAAACATGATCTCCTTTTGATTCTTATTATCATTCGGATTTGGGAACGCTTTTGTGTTCCTCTGCTTCTTTGTTATTTCAATCATTTGTCTTTGTTTTCCTTTGCCTCTCTGGCATTGCTTTGAATTCTGGTTGTTGGGAGATTTCCCTCTAATTGCAGTAAAATTTCGATTTTTCTATCTTGAAAGTGTCTTTTGCTAAATATTTCTCAATATTTACATATTCCAGCAACCAAAAGCACCGTATTAGCAAAAGAAGTGTGACCATTATTATCGGATCACAAAACAATATCAATATTGTTAGAGTTGGGCTTATTCCTATGCTTTGGACTAAGTTTCAACCTAACAATATAATGGATCTTCAATGGGCTTCTCAATTGGACTTACTTGGGTTGTTGTAACAATCATTTGTCCTATGTTCATTCTTAAATCAAATTTTAACCCTCCATATCAGTCAGCCATGTAGAGAACCCTAACTTTTAAAGCAGGCTATGTTCCATATGGAAAGAAGATGCTTGATGTGAAGCGAAACAGAACTTGGGATATTGAGTCTACCACCTAAAAAGAACTTGTAAATGGCGTTTTAAGATCATACTTTAACTTGATGGTTCAGTGGAGAGATATAATATAAGGCAAGCTTTAACCTACTTGTGGATATTTTGATTTAAGCCTTAGCTTTACCATTTTCACTTCTTGCTTGGTCGAATGTCCTAAACACATAACATGTAACTCACACCTACTGTCTCCCGTAGAGGTACATTCAACTTCTATTCATCTACGATTGTTAGTATGTTACTGATCTTGTGCCAAATTGCGCGGTACAATCAATAATTCACATATTGTATTAAGATTTAAGAGTGTCATTAATTTCATGCAAGTGGAGAGGGACGCATAAGTCAATACACACCAACTTGCACATGTCTTTTCTGTTTTGGTATGTTTGACGATGGTCGATTTTCTCACATGTATAGTGCAACACTCTTTGTAACAAGACGGATTTTCATGTCGATGTTATATAATATAGGTGTGGAAACAACTTGATCAAATAAATAATCTAAGTTGGTAGAAATTGGAGGATATTATTTCTTCTGATGATAACAGATTCGAAGCATCTCTCATTTTTATAACCCTTGTGTCAGAGTTATTTCTTATGATTAGTCCATATCGTTTACATGTATCTCCGATTCTCCGCCGTGTGAATAAATGGATTTATGGAACTAAAATTGATTCTCATTAGGTAATAATAATACTGTATAGGGAGAATTTTTGGGTTCCGACAATATATATTTTAATGATATACTATTTTGAATAAAGACATCAAAGGATCCAAAATGGGTCCTCGCTTACCAACATACACTAAGAGGGAATAAAAACGGTTTTTTAAGTATTTATTATACTTTCGGTATTGTTTTAAAATGTTTCCTCAAAACAAATGTTTGGTTTTATTGTCCACGGGCTATGCACCAATTTAAAGTGGGGAACACACATGTGTGTGCATTTCCCTTTGGTTAAGGCAATTCTGATATATAGAACTAAAGCTTATTATCAACCTTAAGTTCCGTGCTTTATGTTTTTCAAAAGTTTAGATCATATGTCTGCAATAGCAATGTGGTTAACCATTATTTTGAATGGTAATACCCTTTGTAAGTGATGATTAAAACGTTTTAAGAGTTAAAAAATGCGAAAGTGTCAATCATATGTACATACCGGGAGTTAATGCCAATCATGTTTTGAAAGTAATATTACATTATGCATTAAAAAAGTATAACTATTAAGATACACTATATATATATTAGGCATATTCTTTAACCATGAATCTCATAGTGAAGTTCAGACTAATGTTCGAACCTTGTGATAATTACAACAACAATAAAAACTGAATATTCATAGAATAAAGGTTTAAAAGTGGTAAATCATAATTGAAACATAAGAATGGAGTACTCTATCTTGGCCTAGATCCATATGACAAATTCTCAATCACTGTATACCATAAATTAGTTTATTTAAGTCATTTCCCCAAACACTGTTTATACGTTATAAACGCAAATGCTAAACCCAAACAATGTTATTTTGGTTTTTAGGTAAGAACAGTATTTCAATTTGTAAACACTACATTTTAAATTTTAAGAAAACAATTAAACTTTATATATATCTCACTAATTTTGTTATTTTAATTGCAAGACTCCTTACTTTGAAGTTTGATAGAGAAAAAAGAGTCTTTCAACGTTTTGGCCTTTTGCGAAAGAAGAAACTTCAGTCTTCTAAACGGTTCTTCTACAAACTTAAGTCGTCTTGACGCTTTGGCAGGTGAAGAGTCCGCCCCAAAAATATAGAACTTGAAATTTTCACTAACAAATTTATTTTATATAGAGTTATGATTAGTGTTACTCTCATCTTAGTTTCTTCATCTTTACCTGGACTCTTCCGCCAATCTTTTATCTCGCACTTTTATGAAGATTGATAAACTTTCTCATTAATTATATAAGTAGACAAACTAGGAGGAGGTCCAATTTAATATTAATATTTTGGTTACATGATTAGAAAGACATTTGATGCTCTTGTGTCGGCTGATTATGATAACAATTTTACGTAAAAAAAAAAAAAGACAAATCTTCCGGAACTCACATGCTGTAACAGTAGTTACCAATACTACGTAAATAATACTAATAAACTGCACAAAATAATAATGTCGGAGTCTAATCTAACCACAACAAAATGACAAATTTTGCAATTTTATAGTATATGTTTTTGTAACATGTTATGTGTAAGAAAATAGAAGATGATAATTTTTTAAATCAAAATAAATAATATTTTAGATACCAGCCAATTACTTACCTAACAAATTAGAACTAATTAAGCCGCTTTTAAAGTTCATGAACCTCCTTTAGTTGTTGGATTAATTTATTATTCTCTCCGTTTTTTTATAAGTAATGTTTTAAGTTTTTAATTTTTTTTTTAAATAGATGATGTTTTCAACTTTCAATACAAAATTAATTACTTTTTTTATTGGTTTTGACGATTTATATTCTATAAATTATTTTTTTATTGATTGATTAGATAGTAAATAATGTTTTAGTTTAGAAATAAACAAAAATTAAATGATTTTTTAATCTATGTTCATTATTCTAAAACATCACTTATAAAAGAACGGAAAGTGTATAATTAAGTGTTTACGTAAAGTTCACAGTTTCATTTATATGATCTTCATTCAAGATATTTAACGGAAAAAAATGGGAACTCTATAAATATTTAGAAGAAAAATCATGATAATTAAATATCTAATTGAAATTCGTTGAAAAAAGAGAATACACTTAAATTTTAAAATAAATACGATGAAAACCCTTTGAATAAAAATATATATTGAATTAGAACATATAATCTAGTTGTTTGTGGTAGTCATTACCTCATCATCCGGATTGAAATGACAAAAAAAAAAGTGTGATGAAAATCCAACACTAAATTCATCCAAAAATAGTAGTTTACACTTTACACACTTGAAGTCTCGAAGGGTCTTCTTACCACAACGTAGTTAAAACGTTAGCCAAATTTAGTTTAAGAAAATCATTATGGAGCAATGTCCAATGATGATGTATGTGGTTGACTGGGATAACAAAAACTTTTGGAGTGATGTGGGTTTGCATGTTTTAATATATACTTTTAGCTTTATCTTTCTAATTCATAATCATAATCTATTCGAATAATTGCTTCCGACTCTTGGAAACTTTTAGATCATTGGCTATTCAAATATCGGTTGATAATGTACCTGAGGCTTCTCAAACTTTTTAAAACAAAGAAATTATATTGAAAAAATAAGAAATATTATTACGAATATACCCTTAGCAAGTTATATAAGAACCTCATTCTCCTTTCTCTCTTCGACGACATCGACATCGACATCGATATCTCTCTTCCTAGCTCTCTCTCTCTCACCGGAAAACTTAATCGGACTTGCATCTCCGACGTCAAAATTCTCCAAACCGAATCGGAAATGGCGAAAGGAGGAAACAAACTGATGAAGCTAAAATCAGTTTTGAAGAAACTCAATTCATTCAACACCAAGCCTAACCAACCACAAGCTCAAACCAATCACGGCCGATCCTCCGCCGTGAGTGCATTTCCCTCTGAAGACCTTCAAACTGTCTACGTAGGCCGAACACGGAGGCCGTACCACGTGAGCTCTGACGTTGTGAGCCACCCGCTCTTCCAGCAGCTAGCGGCGGTGGATGGTGGATGTGGCAGCGAGGACGGTTCCATCTCTGTGTCGTGTGAAGTTGTCTTGTTTGAGCATTTGCTTTGGATGCTGGAGAACGCCGACGCCGACGAGTCACGCCCTGAGTCGGTCCACGAACTTGTCGAGTTCTACGCTTGTTAACTCTTTATGATTAATTTAGGTTTAAAATATATACAATGATTAATGTTTGTATATTCTATACTTTTGTATACTTTACATAGTCTTTCGTGAAATAATCTATTTTTCTGTTTAAATGATATAACAACCGATAAATAAATGTTTGATGAATGTGTAAACATTGTCTTGCAACTTGCAATTTGATTTTTAAAATGATGAATTTTTGAAAAGAATAAAAGAAGATGATGAATTTTGTGGTTATATAAAGGGATAAAACCAATTGCAATGTCAATTTTATCCATATACTCGGAGCTAAGACGGTCAAATGAGTTGAGCGGACTTCGTGAACTAGATCAATCACGGGTTACAAATTTTCAAACCCTAATCAATTCATCTTATATATTTTAGATTGATTGGCCCCAATGTATTTAAAATATCTTCTAGAATTTTTTGTGTATAAATTAATTTTTATAATAAACATACAAACAATTATACAATTAACGTATATTATATGTAAGAATGGAGAATGTGATGTTTATTGATCATTACAAGAGCTCTGTTATATACAAGTTTCTACAGAGTAATTAGAGGAAGATATTATTCTATACAATCAATATGATATATTTACGAGAGTGATTGGAGGGAGTAATCAAAGGGATTGATATATTTGATTCTCCTTAATATTATATAGATTAAGTCTAGACTGATGTGCACTTTCATTGTCGCAATAGAAATTTGATGAATGAGAAAAACATATATAATAAATAAAATCTACAAGAAACGTTTTTTCTTTTCTTTTTTTGGCGAAAGTCATGTAAGAAAATGATTTTGTTTGGTAAAATGCAGAATGAAAAGAAAAAAGCAATTAAACATATTTTTGCTTTATGTGAAAGTTTGGGCTCTATCTAGAAAAACGAAAAACTTTTCTACGAACCACTAGACATGAATATGGTTAACCGTGGCTGACGAATGCAAGACTTGGTATGGGGTACAGTACTGCGTTTTGGAGATTGGAAAACACATGGAAAAGCAAATAAGTAGTGTTTGGTGACTTTGGTCCAATAGCACAGGCATAATCTCTTAAAAAAAGGGTGAAGTTGTGTCTTTCCTGCATTCGAAATTTTGAATGTTGTAGTCTATAAGAACATTATCGCGTTGCAACAAAATTGGCATGAACCATAAGGTCCATAACAGTAGACTGAACAACATATTAGACTACAGATATGATATATGTAACCTCAATTAAGAACTTTATGATATACCAAATAATCCGACCAGTTCTTGACAATTAGACCACAATCCATATTCCCCACATTGTTGCATTATTTATTCATTAGCCTACTTGATTGATACACAACAATCGTTTTCGATAATAACATTGGAGAAGAAGACAAGAAATGTGCACATATTTTCGTACAAGAAGTTATTTTTTTGTTTCTTATCACTTTGACCACCAAATCCTTCACATCTAACATACATGTCCTAAAAACTTAAATCCTCCTTGAAAAAGAATGGAGGGAAAACCAGGAAAACACAAAGATAATCTGATTTTACAATTACACCCCAAGGTAAACATCCCTAATTGACAATTTCCATCAGTATATGATTAAAGGATAACAAGAATCATTGTAACAAAAGAAATGTTTTAAGAGTTTTTATCACTTGACTTGTATTTACTCTTCCTTTGCTGCTACTGCATCCCCATCTGCAAAAGACAAGACAAAACCATTAGTGCCTCTCAAGAATCAGTATAACAGTGTCTAATAACTAATCTTTTTGTTTGATTTCTCATCAAACAATCTTGTGAATGTTAATGGGGTTGGTTTAAGATCATCGAAATAGGGAAGCTGTTATAGCCTTAACGGGCTTGGCCCGGCCCATTTTGAACCCATCATGTTTTTAGCCCCGATTCTTCATGGTTTTTAGACCCAGTCCCTGATTAAGCCTGGCTGGCCAACAGGATTTGAGCTCACGGTATGATCTCTAGATTAGAGTGGGGTCATTGGGCTTACCAGAGTTGTCATCAGGATGAAGATCTTTAAGATTGTTCTCCATGCACTTAAGCAAGTACTTGAAAGTCTCGACCTCGCAAGGGATGGTGAGGGCGCCGCTCTGATCAAACCCAAACTCTTCCTCTGCTTTCTCAAGCAAAACCTTGAACAGAGAGTGGCTAAGATAGCTTGTCGGTATGATAAACCTCCTTAGCTCCGGTCCAACATAAACCGCAAGATACCCTTTAGGAACATCATGAGGCGGCTCAGGGCTTTGGCAGTTTTCCTCATCGGAGTCACCGTTCTTGACATCTAATAGCCTCTTGTTGATCGCGGGCGAAATCATTGCAACCGCTTGCTTTCCAGCTGCCAATGGAGGAACATCTGACTTGGGCCCTATGGTGACGGTTTGCCATTTCTGCAAAATCTCCTTAAGCCTCACAATCTGCCTGATGCCGGTTAACTTTGCCGCATTGTTTTCATCCATCTGCCTAATAAAAACGAAAAATCAAATGTCACATATGATCTTCTTCTTCCCTTGTAGCTGCATTTACAATATCACAAACTATTTGGTTAGTTTTTGACTCAATTGCATCAAAATAAGGGAAATCCACATTACACACAACTCTATGTAAAGAGAGAGAATTAAAAATCAATTAACTAAGTTTATTGACTTCTCTAAATCAATTTGAAGCATTACTAATTTACTATATAGGTTAGGTCCTGACCAAAATAAAGAAAAGAATACCATCAAGCAAAACAGAGGACCCACCCACATACACACAGAGGCAGATCCCAAAGCCGTCATTATCAAGGAATGTTTTCCCAAATATTAGGGTCTAATTCTTATCTCAAGAACATCAAACCCTAAGTTTTTACATAATTTCGTTCACTTTTCCTAGCAAAATCAACAGATACAAAGCGAATCCGATACCACAAACGCACGAAGCTCACAGTTCCAGATTAGATCCGCTAAATCAAAGTTCTCAGATATTGTAAATAATTCAGATGAAATCAAAACACATCGCTGAAAGAGATTAAAACGCAATCGTGCAAATTACATTATCAGAAGTTAAAAATTACCTGAAGAGGAAAACGAAATTGAAGCTTTCTACGCTATATATGGAGACTCGATGAAGAACAGTACCATGAAAAAAAAAAAAAAAAAAAAAAAAGGAGCTCCCGAAGATTTCTTTGATTTTGATTCGCTTCGATCTTTTTTTTAGGTTTTTTCTGTTCTCGGATAAAGAAACAATTTTCTAAGTACTGAAACTAAAACAAAAAATCGATAGAGAATCTAAATATTTAGTGGGGGTAAAAAAAACGAATAGAGAAGCGAATTTTGGGAGAGGAGAGAAATTAGCGATTAGGCTTTATTTGGATTTTATAGTTTTGAGTTTCTTCATTTTGATTCTACCCCTCTCTCGCAAAAAAAAGAGATTTGTTTGTTGGCTTTCCCATCACTTTCGCCTTTTCAGGTTCTTCTGTTTTATTTTCTCACGTTCTTCTCGATACCGATTGTTACTTTATTTTCAATTTAATCCTTTTACTCTTACTTTATTATGAAATATCACCCGATCCAACTATCCGTCCGTGCCTTCCTTGTTAAAGTAATTTTAATTATGTGATTTTTTTTCCGACTTTTTATTATGTGATCTTATAATAGTTAACTTAGGTGATCTTATTCCTTTTTTTACATAGGATATATTTAGTGATACGACGATTAACTTTTAAAATAAGATAATTTTACTATGTCAAAACATTATAATCAGATGGGTTTTTAATTCTAAAGAAAAGATTATATAATTATGGATTGTACTAGTGTATAGATTTTGCTGTGGATCATGAATGGATTCGACAAAATCTTCGCACATGTGTATTGTTTTTGATTCTTAAGTTTCTCATAATTATTTTTTTGAATTAGACAAGATCTGTCTAAATGGGCCGTAATATTAACTTATATAAGGAACAGTCTGATGGGCTGAAATGGTTTGTCTATATAAGTTATTTATGATTTTTTTCTTTTTCTAAGACTCCTATGTATATTTTTAATATAAATATGACTCTTTTATAATGTAATTTGGTCATTGTATTCCTATGTAGTTGTATTCTAAGTTTCTAACTAAAAATAAAAAAAAAATACCGACGTTTATACTAATAAGCGATTGTCCACCACTTATTTCACTCAATTTCTTTTGATAATATTCAAAATTCAAATCCATAATAGAATTATCTAAATTTAGTGATGGACGAACACGGAACATCCTCCACCTAGTAAATGTTGCATCGGTCATGTACACAATCGTAACGTAAGCACACAAAAAAAGAGTCGTATTGAAAGTCTATTAGTTTTCTATTATTAAATCGATAGAAGAATAACTCTTTGGGCTATGCGCATCTTCCTTCAAGACAAAGGCATCTTTCGCTCTCGATTCTCAGCATCTACCAAAATATTCATACATACACTTCCACTTGCACATCATCCAACGGCTTAGCTTCCTTCACTCAACTTGCTCTTCATCCAACGGCCTAGATTTCATCTCGCCCTTCTCTCCTTTTATATAACCCACTGAATCGCTCACCTCTTTGCAAATCACAAACATTTCAAGAAAGAGATCGATGTCGACATTGGAATCTCCATTAGAGGCGTTGGCATTTGAATACGCTAGCTTCGGTGTTTTCGCCGTCGTCAACAACGTCTGGACATGGATCGCCGTCGTGACTGCCGCCGTCAGTTTCTGGAGGATCAGAGTCACCACCATCGGAGTCGGAGACGGCCATGCATGTGTCTTGATAGAGGAATTAACCGGTTCTAAATCGGAAAACGAATCCGGTCGTCTCGAACCGAAATCAATAACCGGTCCGGTTAAAGAAACGGTTGGCGCTAGAGTGAAGGAAACGGTTACGAAAACGGAGGTTTACGCGCCGCAATCAAGAACGAGTTCCGTTAAAGAAACGGTTGCCGCTAGAGTGAAGGAAACGGTTACAACAACGGAGCCGTTAATGTATGATGACGGAGTGACAAAAGGGAAGCTGACGATGTACTATGAGGTAGACGTTGATGTTGACGGTGAGAGGTGTGTTGAGTCTGTTGACGGAGAGTTAACGGCCGTTAGCTACGGAGGCGGTTTGGGTAATTGTGGCGGTGAGTGGTGGGAGAAATGGGAAAGAGTGGTGAGGATGAGAAATGGTGATGACGGTTGGTATCGTTACGTGGATTTAACGGTGATTAACGGAAATGTTGTGAGGTTTTGGGATGACACCCAGAGCTAGTAACGGCGGCAGGTGTCTAAATTAGAGGATAATCCTATTTCGCAAACTTTTAAGTTTTTAATCTTGAGAAACTTTCTTGGTTTAAAGTGTATTTTTTGGTTGATTAAGTTGTAATTTGTAAATAATTTTCACACAAAGACCAGGAAGGAACACTTGAACAAGAAGAAAATCAATATCAATTGTTGTTGAATCCTATCATTTTTCTAGTCGAACTTTTGTAACATTTCCATTGCAATGAATTCGTGATAAGGGGTCAAATATTTGAGCACAGTAACAAAGTATATATGTTTACCTGTTACTTGACTGTAGCCTGTACGCATGTATTTGTTCATGTTGCTCCAGTCCCAGCCTGAAAAGTGAAACCAGCGAAATCCACGTACAATTCTTAGTCTGGTCTGATTCGACCCGGTTTTTAAGCTCGGTTTAACTCTAAGACAATCTAGTAGTTTCTCTGACGAAAAAAATAAAAAATAATGAAAAAGGTGGAGAAAGAACCAGACAAGAAACTCTGAGACATCCACTTTAATAGTTAGATTTATATGATTGGTCAGATTTTCTTTTCTATAATTTAAAATTTAAGTAAATAATTTATTGAATAAAATAATATAATTGAGAAACTACCATCAGTATCTTTGGTTGGAGATGCACTAACATAGCTACAGAGATAATCCAGTCTTTTCGGATTCTTCTTTGAAACAATTTTTCCAGTATATAAAATAAAATATCGATTAAATATTATGTTTTTTACAAATGCTAATTAATGCAATTTAAAAATGAAAATTGAACATATTTAAATCCGAATAAACAATATAAATCATATTTTAAAACATGAAATTTGCATTAACGCATGTAATATCATTATCGCCATCAAGATTTGTATATAAAAATTAATTTAAAACATGTATAAATGTAGACTTTGATGCAAGTGAAGTCATTGAGATGTTTGTGGGATAAATTTCAATATTTACCTTTAAATATGAACACAAACCTTAAGTAAAGACTTTGATGATCATTGAAGTTTTTATTTTTGAAATTCTACGTCATTGAAGTTATTAGGATATTTCGATCATCGCACGGTCCTTAACATGATATGGTGAAGAAATCGGTCTCCGTTACTGTTAACCTTGTATTGCGCAAACCAAAGAGGCTGCTAAGACCATGATCCAGCCCCGGCTCAGATGGGTAGGGCGGAGGTGCGACGGCCCGGGGCTTTTTTTTTAATAAAAAAATTTACATATAAAAAAGGTCCAAATATTTTTTAAAAATATTATTAATATGAGAATTATATTTTAAGAGGCCTAATTATTTATAAGAAAATGTATAAAAAGGCCCAAAATTTTTAAAATAATAATTTTTACTATAAGAACTCCGCAAAATTTTTAAAAATTAAGTAAATTTTCTCTTTGTATATAATAATAGGCCAAAAAATTTTTTTTTGGCCCTAAGGCTCTCAAATATATTGAGCCGGGGCTGCCATGATCAAATGTACTTTTCAGATTAGTTATTCTCACACATTGGACCTGATCATGTATAATTGGATCTCCGGAACAAATAAACATACGAAGATGTGACATTTTCTATTAAGTGGGTCCTTCTAGGAAAGCATCATTAAAGTTATCCGAGGCCAAAACTTTAGCATAGTTTGGTGTTATGTTTTTGTTGATAAAACAGTTTGGTGTTATTTGATTTAGTAATTTACCAACGGAAACTTGATCAATCAAATATGCTGTTTGTTTTCAAATTGAATATCAGAATATGAATTTTGATTAAGTTTTACTCGTTTTTTTTTAATGGCATGTAATGTAGAATTTACCCTCAAATGATAACAAGAGTCGAGCAAAAGAAATGGCAGCCATTTAATGGCAGATAAAGATTTTGTCTCTGAAACCTTTTTTGTCACTTCATAACCAAACGTGGACCCAAACTTCTGAAACCTCTTTGAAAATAATTGGGCACTGGTGACCAGTCCGCCAATAATTCCACAAATTTTGTTCTTTTTCGTATCGTTACTTACATATAATTTTTTTTTTTGTGTGCGAACTGCGAAGGCAACAAATAAATATTATTTACATTTTTGCTGGATTCGCTATTCTCTTTCCCTGTTCTGTAATATGCGGTGCATTTAATTTTACAGATTTCCCCCATAATCAAGAGGTGCTACATTCACCTTCCTACCCCTATCTTATTGCACGTAAAACACGTAAACAAAGGAAATATCGGAGGGTAATTACGTAATGTTCCACGGACCTACGACTTTAAATTCTTACCCACCACCACTCTCCTTTTCATTTACAGACATAACCCTAATTTGGTCTCTCACTCTAAGCCGATAGAGAATGGCTCCTCCACACAAGCTCTTCCTCCTCGCTATTGCCTTCGCCATCATTGTCACCGCCACCACCGTACACGGTCGTCATAATGGTGCAAAAGATATCGTTCATTCCTCCTGCGAACACGCGAGCTACCCATCACTATGCGTCCGTACTCTTTCATCTTACTCCGGTCCAACCATCACCAACCGCCGTGACCTAGCTCAAGCCGCCGTCAAAATCAGCCTCTCCCACGCTCAAAGCGCCGCGAAGAAACTCACGGTGGTGCGAGACTCGGTGGGGAAGAAGAGGCAAGAGAAAGCGGCGCTTGTGGACTGTGTGGAGATGATTGGAGACTCGGTGGACGATTTAAGCCGCACCCTCGGTGTTTTGAAGCACCTCCGTATCTCTGGGGGTTCGTCTAAAGAGTTCCGGTGGCAGATGAGCAATGCACAGACGTGGGCTAGCGCGGCGCTTACCGATGACGACACGTGTCTCGATGGGTTTGAAGAGATCGACGGTGATATCAAAACGGAGGTGAAACAGTGGATGACGAAGGTGGCCAGGGTTACGAGCAACGCGCTTTACATGATCAACCAGCTAGATGAGACACGTGGCAAACCCCACGACGTACATCTTTGATGTTAATGCACTAGATCGTTTAATGGACGGTCGTGGTTGTATGTTGGTTTTTTTATTCGTGTGTTTTAATTGTGAGATTATCTCTACTAAAATGGAAAATGAATTTTGAAATTAGACAATTTCCTTTTTCGTAGTTCTGATTATGGAATATTAAATAAATGTTATTTTATCGTCTTTGTCACTATAAGGTATTATGGATCCGTTGAGATTCGATTGTAAGTGTGTGTTTGTTTTTAATTTTTATTCGTGTGTTTTAACTGTGAGATTATCTCTCTAAGATAGAAAATGAGTTTTGAAATTAGACAATGTCCCTTTTCGTAGTTCTGATGATGGAATATTAAATAAATGTTATTTTATCCTCTATGTCACTACAAGGTATTATGGATCCGTTGAGATTCGATTTAAAGATAGACTTGGAACTCTCGTACGTCATATGATTTTGTCTTGATATGAAACTGAAACTCGATATCTCAGCGACTATAACGTATGAGTATAAATAAAGTATAACCCATAAAGGCATAAACTATAGATAAATGTTTGACCAAAGCTCATGAGAAGCCAGGCCCAGCAATAAAGCCCAACATCGATATAGCATCATCTTGTTAAGGCTCTTGATAAGTCCGGGATCACAAATAAAATGGCTTCGATCAAGATCCAGAGCGCCGCGAGGAAGCTAGCGGCGTGAGCTCGCCAGTAGAGATTTGGATCCGGTCTAAGATGAACGTCATATAAAACGCTGAAAAGGCATGAGAAAAGGTCGACATTTTTTTATCTAAGAATTCACTAGCTGACTATTGTACATATTCATTTTCCTATCCAATTATATTCAGCATTTTGTACTAACTTTTATAATTGATATCAATAAAAGAATATGTACTTTAAATCTTGGGTCCCTTGAATCATTCCAGCTCATGCTTGTTCATTAAGATCTTAGTTTCCTCCTTTGATAATTTACTCAAATTCCCAAAAAATATCTTGAATGTTTCATTTCCTAATTCACCCATGTTAGTAGCATATACATATGACAGAAAAATCCACAGAAAAAATTCCAATTATTTAGTTATTTTCAAATATATATATACGATAATTTTGGGCCTTAGAAAATAAACGAACAATTTTGTTTCCATCTAAAGTTAATAGTTATCATCATTTTCTATTTTACAGTAAATTTTACATTTTCCAGTCGACGAAGTTTTTTTTTTTTTACCAAATAGAAACATTGGTTTGTTATCAAAAAGAAAACCCCTACGCAATGCATCTAATGAACATTTTATAAAAGTAATTCTTAAATAAACGGTCACATGCATGTACAATCATTTAAGACTTTTTGTTTTTGTGCTTCTTTAAATAGTTAACGACGTTCCTAATTTTGTTACTGTATATACAAAACACAGTGATCAGTCTGAAATAAATAAATATTTTGTTTACATATTTTTCTAGAAACTAAACAAATTTCTGTACATTTCTGAAAGTAGTTATATCGTTGAAGGGAAAATGGCTTTTTTCAATCTGAACAATTTCTAAAGTGCGTTTTTCAATCCACTGATTTATACCTCAACGCTTAAAAATTTCAAATTACTTACCTCAACTCTTATTTTAGTGCGTAATTACGAGTCAACATTAACGGAAATTAGTCAACTGTAACGGTTTCTGAATCAAATGACACATATTGGTCGAGATGACATGTTTTTCAAACAAAACAATGTCATTTTGCGTTTTAGGGTTCAAATTTTTAGAAAAATACAAAACCGGAGACTCGAACACACAACATCTGATTCAATGAGACTAAGATAAGGTCGCATGTTCGAATCTCTGGTTTTGCATTTTAAAAAAGAATTGAATCTTTAAACGTAAAACTACGTCGTTTTGTTTAAAAAACATGCCACCTCGACCAATATGTATCATTTGATTCAGAAACCGTCACAGTTGACTAATTTCCGTTAACGTGGACTCGTAATTACGTACTAAAATAAGAGTTGAAGTAGGTAATTTGAAATTTTTAAGCGTTGGGGTATAAATCAGCATTGATCGTTTGTTCGGGTTAAAAAACACACTTTAAAAATTGTTCAGATTGAAAAAGGCCCTTTTCCCGATAGTTGAAAGCCATGTTTTCTTTAAGTTAGTTTTTTTTTAACTTTTTATAAATGTTTTCTTTAAATTTCAAGGAAGTTGTAAAATGTATTTTCTTTAAATAGATTTGACTAATCCAGGTCCACGGCGAAAGAGATGTCGCAAACCAGCTCATGTGACCAAAAGCAATTAACGCCAATGTAAAATGGGGTGGGAGTGTGACCACGTCAGGTGGGATTTGCCGTGAGAGGCCCTTCTTTATTGTTTGTTCTTTTTCCGTCAATTTTCTTTCCAATAATATATTAATACTAGATTTTAACCCGCGGTACACCGCGAGACTATATTTTCTTAAAAAAATCAAAATGTAATTTGTTTGATAGATTATTTTGATTGTTAATTTTAGGATTTCACCCGTGGTATACTATCTTTTATAAATATCAACCCAAACCCGTCCCATCATATTACCCGTCCCGTGAAATTAAACATCATTTAGTTATTTTCTTAAAAAAATCAAAATGTAATTTGTTTGATAGATTATTTTGATTGTTAATTTTAGGATTTCACCCGTGGTATACTATCTTTTATAAATATCAACCCAAACCCGTCCCATCATATTACCCGTCCCGTGAAATTAAACATCATTTAGTTATTTTTCTTTTTAATAATACTTTTATTTAAAAGCTATATAATTCAAGTCAATTTAAAAATTTCTTTTAAATGGTTCCCATAAGGTATATATACATATATATTAAATTTGTATAGAGTTGAAATAATATTAATATTACAAACTTTTTATATAATTTAAATATTATAAATATTTTTAAAAATATGCAATATATATTTTTTGTTATTGAATAAGAGGATATTATGTGTAAGAAATGTAGAAAATAAGGGTTTAATATTTTTATTATAGAGTCGCAAGAAAAATCTTTTATTTCTATACATGTTATTCGTTTATTAATAATAAAAGAAAACAAATCCTTTAAATTAGATATTAACTAAAATAAACGCACCATAATTACTTATTAAGTAACAACCAATAAATTTTACCAAAAAATAGGTAACAACCAATAAATTCTAAACGCAGTAATTAAAGAATGAGATATTAAAAAAAAATATCAAATAAGATATAAGAATCTTAAAATAATTGAATATCTAAATAATTTAATTGTTAGTGTCGATTTTAATGCCTTCATTAATGTGGATATTTTTTTTACAAAGAAATATTTTCTAAAGATTATCACATTAATGACTCAGAAAATTAAGGAAGATATGAATTTATGATTCTCGAAATCGTGTTGGTAATATCTTTAATTAATATTTTTCAAATTTAAATAATTAATGCCAATGGCATTCATCCGTAAATACATTCCAACTCCAGGATTTATTTGCTAAAAGTCATCCAAAAATGTATATATAGATGAAAAGAAAAATAAACTTATCAAGAAGTACAAATATTCGACAAATAAAGAGACACATATAAACCTACAAAAGAATGAACCTGTTGATCAGTAGATGATTAATCCACAACTCTCTGACTCTTACATAGAAAATAACAAATCCTGCATATCAGGACAGGTGATATAGTGAAGTCGAGAAAATCATGGAATCGTAACGAAACTTCCTCGTTGCTCTCTGATAATCCATCCAACTCAAGTGGTGTATTTTGTGGTTAAATATTCATATAATGTCAACAACACCAACTGTCGAATTCATTAAATCGGCTAAAATACGTTGATGTGATATCGATTATGGATATATCTTTAGCACAGTATATGAGTTAATCTTGTTCATTTTCCACTTTCTACTGCGGATATCATATAGATCTTGGACACAGAGACGGTTTCGAAACGCGTCAAGCTCTTCTTGCTCTCTTTGGTACTGATAAACACGATCTAGAATCTTGGAGTCTGCTATCATTCCAACTTAAATACATGCATGAACTCGAAGTTCATAATAAATTTCAGTCGCATAGTATTACTTTTGTTATAAGAGAATAATTATTAACAAAATAAAAAAATAATACTATAGGCCTCAAAATCCATAACTTCATAATTAAGGTCTTATTATATTCATCCAATCTCCGAACGTCTGTCTTCACGCATTTATTGCTCAGGGACATCATGTCGCGACTCGCTGCCACTTATTTGAATTGACATCCATTCATTCCATACATTTTACCTTCACTTATATTTGTATATAGAATATTTAATTAGCATTCTTGCCAAATAAGTTTTGGATCGAACCTAAACTAACAAAGAGGTTACTGTTTTCTTTACTCTGCTTGTTGTGGGGTCATTCAAAGGGTTTACAGTGGTCAATATGGAGGTTTAGTCTTTCGTAGTAGGCCTAGACAAAATATTCATTAGATCCGCTTCGATTCGGTATTCGTTTTGATTCGATTCGAAAAATTTGAATATCCGTAATATTTTGGAGCAAATCAAATAGGAAAATGTAGTATTCGTAAAAACCGAAGCAAATAACAAATATTGTTTTTTTTAAAGTCGGATATCCGCTTCGATCCGTATTTTTCGATATATATTAGAAATATATATATATATATGTATATCGTAATATATTTTTGGCTTGTATTTGTAAACTCAGTTTTTTATCCTTCGGACATGTATTTGTGACACAATTTAATAGTTTTTATTAGTGAAGTGGAATTTATTAAAAAAAAAAATCAATATCCCTTAAAAATAAGAAGTTGAAATCTTGTGACGACTTCTTTTTCCCAAATTTTATATTTTTTTCGTAGTTTTACATGCGAGCGCTTAGCTTTTTAGGATTTTAATAAGTGCAGAAGTATCGAAGCGGATATCCGCAAATATCACAAAAAAATCCGGATATTCGATATTCCGAATATCCGGAAATTTTCGGATCTAAGCAAATCACAAAATCAAGTATTCGGTTAAATCGAATCGAATAACGAATATCCCAAATTTTCCGGATATCCGCTTCGTGCCCAAGCCTATTTGGTAGATAAAACTTATTATGTGACCTTAAACCAAATAGTTTGTAATTTGTTCAATGACATTTATGTTTATATGGTTTCGAATATATATGTTTAGGATCATATATCACCGTTTGTTTTTTTGGGAGACATTTTAACGATTACAGGGGAAAAAAAAACATATCGCTATAATATTTTTTTTTTTTTATGTGAATAAATCATTATTTACAATAGAATAAGATCAATTATCTATGATGATAATGTAAAAACAAAAT